TGAACCGCTGAACTGCAGATAACAGTCAGCTGAAGTAGCCTGCAGTGCTGCATTTAACTACTGCGCCACCTCGGTGTAAAATGGTCATAAGTCACATTTTTCAGTGGCGGTCAATAAATGAACTATCTGTAGCGGCAAGTAGGAATGGAAGGATTAGCTAACCTCAAGTCCTGTTGCCCACTGGGAATTGCACCTGTCAATTGCATGTGTCCCAGTATCAACTTTAGATATTGGATCTCGTTATTACAAATAAAACATTTCCTCTAAAGCGATTTCTGTGTAATAAGCTGGAAAGAGAGATGAAATAATAGAAAATGTGCTCTATTGTATACCGCCACTTGATGATTAAACATGGAACAAAACAAAAAAACGCCCTTTGACTTGAAATAGCGTGAGCTTTTTTTCTCACAACCTTTCAAAACGATACTTTTATGAAACATAAGAAAAACAACAACTGGAGTTCTTTCAAACTCTGGTTGGCAATTGTAATAGATTAATTAAACATGACTGTATTTTGTTTTAAGATCGATGAGACAGAATATATATTTTATAGAGTTTATCTTGCCCCTTCTCTCTCAGGCTCGATCGCCTCTTTATCTTATTGGACACTGGCACAACACCCGTAACAAGGAAAGCAGCTGCCCAGCAACTCGGGGAAGTGGTCAAGCTTCATCCACATGAATTGAATAATCTCCTGGCTAAGGTAAGTGCTTCGGATGTTACTATAAGCAATATAATATTGGTGCTGACAGAGCTGGTTTGATGGGGTGGTTTGTCCTGGTAGCATTGAGAATTGGACATGATTGAACAGAGGAAGAACAGTGTTGGATTTATTCCTCCCTCTCAAAGGCCAAATTGTATGTTCTGTAGCATTCTATCACTGAAAGAGCGTTCTAAGCATCGAGATCTTAATGAAAGTATTTATACATTGGCCTTATTTATTAGATTGCCGAATTTCTGTAATTTGAGGGCTGTGTTAGGCCTTGTGAGGGCTTGAGAGACTGCCTGCTGCCAATTACCTCCCACAGACCCATTAGATCTCACAGGGTTGGCCTCCTCCGGGTGCCA